TTACCCTCCAAAGACTGCTTGCTTATAGTTTGTGAAAGAGAGAGAGAGAGAAGCAAGACACAAATATAACATGGTAACATAACTTTGTGTTGCTCTAATTGAGGATCCTTAATTTGTTCTTTCTTTTAGCCTCTGTATGAGTGTTGATGCAACTATTTACACATGGTGTTTCTTGTACTGTTCATGAATTGCTTGTACAAAAATGCCTTCCTAAGGCCACCATGGCAATATCCAACTAGTTAAAATCTGATCAATAGCATGTGCATAGAAATTTCTACCAATAGTGATGGTGACACCACTTGAAATGCTAAAGAAATCAGGACTTTGGGTGGAGAGATCTAACTTGTCCTTCACCTAGGACAGATTCTTAGATAAGCTTTTAGTAGTTCTTATTAATTGCATCATGAGTCCAAGACTATACATACATACATACATACATACATACATACATACATACATACATATATATATATATATATATATATATATATATATCTACAGAGGTTACATATGAGTAATTATACAGTGGATTCATTGTTCTTTTCTACAGCAGCTATCATTTGACCAAAAAATGATTACATTTTAATCATGAGAGGATCTTAAAAGCTTGCCTTATGTGCATGTAGTTGTTCTATATACATAACCTGTTGAGCTGCCTTTTGCTGAAATCTTCCTCTTCTGTTTATTAAGCTAAAAATGCACCAAATATGTACGAGCAGTTCAATCGATTCTGATGTAGATATTACAGTACATGAATAGGAAAAGATCATTCCTATCGAAAATGGCCACATTTCAATCAATGGGACGATGCTAATCCATGCACAGTTGAAGAACGGCATTGAATCCATATTGCATTTCTCTTCATTTATGTTTCTGTCCACTGCATGAATCTGAAAGATGAATGACACCAAACCAACGGAAGAATAAAAGGAAGTGTGTCATAAGTCTACTGTTGCTTGACATTGCCTTCCTCTCAACGAATTATTCTCTTCCTCTAGAAAGGAAGAGAAGAGGCGAGGCTTTTGCGGTGGTCACCTCTGCACAAAAGAGAGATGCATGGACCTTGAGAGGACCACTGCTTCTCGAGAGCATTCAATGGTGGTGACCTCTCAATCCTTCATCTTTTGTCTCCCTCTTCCTCTTTACCCACTTAATGACACTGATATGGTGCACGCGCCGAAGCCACCGAAGTCACTAAATTAGCTTCTTCAACGTCTGTCATTCACCACCACTTCCATCTGTTCATTGCTCTGCCATAAATCATGCAGCAAACTTGATGACTGCAAAGGTTGTACACAAGTGGAATAGGAAAAGTGATCTTGTATTGCATGGAATCCAATGTAATTTGAAAGAAGCTGTCTTTGTGTTACATACAGGCCATAGATTAGTTTTGTGATCAATTGCCTCTTCCTGTAGGTGCTGACTTCTCCTATGTCCTATATGCTTACTTTGATCTAGGTCAAATTGACTGGTGTCCATATGAATCTTTGGTACCCAAAGAAAAAGTCTTTCGGTCATTTTCGATCGATGATGTTGGAGCAAAAACAATCCCTACAAGATCTTGTTCCTCTTTTGGAGTCAAATTGACTGATACCAACTACAAGCAATGAAGCTTTATGATCCTTAGTGAAGTATGTTCAAACTTCACAAAAGTTGTAGGGCCATATTGATTTGTGGTCTGTAAAGCTAGCTTTGCATCCATTATGGATCGAACCACCTAATACGAAAGCTCCAAGTTACCAAACATTTCAGGCCACAATCTCACTATCATTTGTCTTCATCTCAATGCTCCAAAAGTTGTAAAATCTTTTGCGAGAATCTTCTAACATTAGCACCACTATCACTCTAAATTGTGTTGCTTGTGATAGTATGAAGCACCATTTATGGCTGTTTGTGTTACAATTCAATGAGATTGTATTATCTTAATCCAGTGTGCATATCCCTTGATTAATCTCCACAATATGATGAAAGAAACCCACCCATCTGTTGTGCTTTGGCCACATTTTTCCTAATAAAAAAGCCTGCCTTCACTTGGTTTATTTTCTTATTATTTTTGTGTCTTGAATAGGAAAGAAGAGAGAAGTTGGACAATCAAAATGAACAGAGAGAGAGAAAGAGAGAGAGAAAGGATACAAGACAAGTATGCTTGTTGACAAAAGTGGGGTTTGACTTGGCATTATGTAATTATTACAGCATCTGCATTTTTCCAACAATATAAGGTTGAGGATACTAAAAGAAAAGAAGATGAATTTACATTATTATTGTTATTATCATCATCATCATCATGGTCCCATGACATGGGTTCTTGAAATCATGCTGCACAAGAATGGTATCTTTGTCTGCATGCTTTGATTATTTTCGGTCATGTGGCCGACATGAATGTCAATTAATGTCGAGGAGCTGAGCCATTGGGAAAATGATAAGAACATAATGTTTTGACTGCTTATTATCTTCATCTCTTACTACTAAATCATAGGCATATTCAAGGTTTTTTGTAGTCTAAATCTGCCACTTTATTCTTTCAGTGAACTTTAAGCTTTAAAGCAAGTCTTTGGATTTGATAGAGAACAAACACTCGGAGGAAGTGATGAAAACTCATTTTTATTCCACATGATAGATATTGCATGATAATAAGACCAAATTACTTTAATTCCTTATGTGCAGTCACAAGACTCAAGTCTTTGGAGCATTGCCAGATAAAAGATTTATGATCACAAGGAACTTTGACTTACGGATTGCCAAAGTCTTGGAATGCAAATGACTCCTTTCAATATCTTCTTCTCCCAAATGCACACCAAGTCCTTTTCATTGGAAAATCTTGTGAATTATGATGGCTATCCATTCTAAGTTTGTGGAGAAGATTTGTGGAATTCTTGTTGCTTCTTCCCATTTCCTTCATTGAAAGGCCCAAGCCAGCATGCTGTGACCAAGAAAAGACATCATCTCCTATATCATCACTAGAGTTCCTACTCCAAGGATAGAGTTCTCATGATGAGAACATACGATATGAGTTGGGATACCCCCATGGCTTGTTGTAGACCACATTTGCAGCTGCAGATCCTCTAAAAATTCCAAGATGCTTAGCCATCAAGGTGATGGATGCATGTGTGGTGGCAGTAGAAGAAGGTAAGAAGAACATTCAAGGGAAAGCAATGCCTTGTGGTCATCTTCTATCAACTTGTTGGACCCATTTAATGCAAAAAGGGTTATTTGAGACCTCAGTGAATTTTTTTTCTTAGTCTTTTTTCTTGTATTATTTCATCATTCATGCTCACACCCACGTCATGAGATCAAATAAAGGGAGAAAAATTAGGACTTATTTTTTCTTTATTTAAAGAAAAATCCGGTTTGATAAGAACAAAAAGTTTGGATAGATTGTTAAGAGGCAAAAGATAGTAGTAAAGAATTGAGCGAATTCTTAAAAGAAAATTCTCTCTTTTATTTTTTTTTTCTCATTTTTATAATTTTATAATTGCATCTTTTTTTTTTCATAATATCCGAAATATCCTCGACCACTATTTCTTTTCTTTTTCTTTGGTTATAGAAGAATCCATTGGTCCAATTACAATATGTTCACACTGTATTTAGTATTTTTAGCAATACTAAAAAAATATTATAATGTAGTTATAGTATTTTTTTTAGTATCGCTGAAAATATTATAATATTATTTTTATAAAATTTGTATAAAATATTATGTTATAGTGTTTTCTTGAAAACAACATAATTATACCACTTTAGAGAGGAAAAAAAAGATGGCTGATTGATTGTTAAGTTAGTCTGTATACAACCGAAAACTGTGAATCAAAGAGAATTGTAACACATATTATGATTCAACATATATGCATTCAATATAGTGACTCAAAATAAAAAATATTTAAACACAGAAGGTTTATAATTCAATAATAAAATCTTTGTCTTTATGCCTCATCGTCACTCTTTTCATAGATGTGCTAGAATTGATATTGTTGCTTGGGGCCACCGCACTCTGATCCTTGATTCTCGTTGGTATTGTACCTAACAAGGTTCAAGAGGTTATCGACCTTAGTGAATAATGAGAGCACTATGACAAAAGTGAAGATGTAGTGACCGGGCAACTATCATCGACCAAGGTAGGGATGATGGGGCGACGGGAGAGCAATGCAGGTGTGGGGGTCGAGTAGTGTAGGAGCAACAACAATCAAGCGGGTCTAGTGTGACTGTGGCTAGCAATACAGGAAGGGCAGTGACCAGGTGGTGCAAGAGCAACGATAATCAAGTGATGTAGGAGTGGTGATGATTGAGTGGGTTCGGTGTGACAGGATTGAGCAGTGCAGGAGAGACAGCAGTTGAGCAGTGCAGGAGTGACAATGGCAAGCCGTGTAGGTACAATGACAACGAATGTTGCAGGTGTGGCGACAGTCGAGCGATTCAAGAGCAGTGGCAATCGAGCAGATTCGGTGGGTGAGCGGTGAGCAAGTAGGTCAGAAAGAGGAGAGGAAGAGAAATCGATCAAGGCGAGAAGTAGATATAATTATCCTTTTTATTCGTTTTTTATTTCACATGACACCATGTGCGATTATTTTCATCGACTAAGTTAATGACATGAGAAGAATTAAGATTAAATGTTTCACTTTGATAGGTGTAGGGACCATAATACTATTTTTTAAATTATAAGAATCGAAATGCTAACTGTAGTTAATTATATGAGATAATATATAATTATTTCGAATTTGAAAAGGATGGATGCTTTCTCAGAGAAACCTAAAAAGAGAAGCTTTTCTCGATAATTCGTCCTAAAAAAAATTCATAGTAGTAAAGAGAATGAATCTGTACAAGTCCAGTGAAGAATGGTGCGTACATGCAGCTGCGAAAGGGTTACTTCTCTCACGAGTCCTGTGAAGAGAGACAGAGACAAGACTGGTGATCTCGAAGACCAGGAAGGCATAACAGTGGGCGTGACATTAACCAGGCAGCAGTTTTCCCACTCCACAATCAGTAACACTGTTATACTATCCATTTGTGTTGTGAGAGTTCTGCCTGTTGTTATCGTCTTCCTCCCACTTGCACCGCGGCGAGGGTACGATTCACTTGTAACCACGTATTTATAGGATAGAGGATAGAGACGACGGGGGAGATCAAGGCATGTATCACAACAGGGTCACCGGTGCATGGTAATCGTTGCATCGGCCATGGGCGCAGGCGACGGTCACGAGCACGACCTTCTCATGCCTGGATTCCGCTTCCACCCGACTGAGGAAGAGCTGATCGAGTTCTATCTCCGCCGGAAGGTGGAAGGCAAACGCTTCAATGTGGAGCTCATAACGTTCCTCGATCTCTACCGCTACGATCCATGGGAGCTTCCAGGTTTGAGACCTCCGACCCGATCTGCATGGCTGTGTCTCGAACTGCAGCTCGCTGATGGATTCTGGACACAGCGTACGCGGCGATCGGGGAGAAGGAGTGGTTCTTCTATGTTCCTAGAGATCGGAAGTACAGGAACGGTGATCGGCCCAACCGCGTGACCACCTCGGGCTACTGGAAGGCCACAGGAGCCGACCGTGTGATCCGGAACGAGAACAACCGGTCGATCGGGCTGAAGAAGACCCTCGTCTTCTACTCCGGCAAAGCTCCCAAAGGCCTCCGAACCAGTTGGATCATGAACGAGTACCGGTTGCCGCAGAGCGAGACGGATCAGTACCGCAAGGTAATTAGGGGAAGAACAGAGGTCACTGCTCTCGGGAACATTCACGCATGGCTTTGCTTCATGTTCGCTGCAACACAACTGAATTAGGGTTTCCTTCGTGCCACTGCTTCCATCAATTGTCAACTGCTACTCTCTCTCTCTCTCTCTCTCTCTCTCTCTCTCTCTCTCTCTCTCTCGTTCTTCATGCTTCCCCCTTAAGCTACCACTTCTTGTTGATCAAAGAAAGCAAATTGAATGCGGACTATTGAGTAATTGTTGTCCTGTTCAGTTCTCCAGCATAAGAAAGAAGGAGAACAACAATCTCCTGCACTCATATCAAACCTAATAATTCCTCCTCATGTGGACTAGCCTTCTGTTTCCTTCATTCTTCTCACCAATATCACAAGTATGCAATAAGGTTGAATGCTACTATCTTTTCCTTCTACGATTTGTCGTGAATTGTCTTGTGTTCTCCAACCATTGTTCTTTCACAGAAGAAAGGAACTGAAGGATAAAAGATCAGATTTTTTTGCAGGTCGAGATCTCAATCTGCCGCGTCTACAAAAGACCCGGAGTTGAAGACCGTCCCCGACTCCCCGGCACGCTTGGTTCGAAGCCGTCATCGTCTCGAGGGACTGGAATGAACAGGAAGCACAACACTTCTCATCATCAGATTGGAGGAGACTCGCAAGAAGTTCGAGATGGAAGCAGCACTAGTCTGCCGTCATCCTCCTTACAACCTAAACCTACCGTCCATGGTTCCACGACAGCTTCGGTGGCTTCACTGAGCTCAACCACGTCCACCGAAGAAGATGGAACTTCGTTCCTCCAATCCAACAACATGAGTGGTGTAACCCCGACATGCTCACTCCTTCCTCACACCAGTCCGTCCATGGCCACTCAGATGATCGATGAACTCAACAGGTTAGTAGGTTTCAACCAGAATCGCATGAACAACCCCAGCCAGTTCCTCCATCCGCCTTCCCAAACCCAACTCCAGCTTCCCTTCAATGCTTTGCCTATGTCACTGACAACCGCCTCAGACAAGCTTTGGGAGTGGAGTGCCCTTCAAGAGACTGGTAGGGAATACACCGACTTCGAGTGATCATTCGTGACAGGCCAAAATTATTCGCATTATAGATCGATTTCTATACCAATATATGTGAAACTGTAGCATGTACTATTGTGGGTGAGACCTTACTGTAGGAGGTTAGACATGTAACTGAACCAAACCTTTGTAAGCTCATAAAGCTATGTGGTGTGTTTTAAGTTTCTTCTTCCTTTGGATCTTCCATGATGTCTGTCTGTCACAGCTTCCGGAGGAAGAAGAGTAAGATGGGAGTCGATGAATGAGCTCAAATCTAGATCACCAATGATTGTGTTTTGCCCATGAAATAATGATGCCATGGTTGGTACAAGACTTGCAGAGAGTTGTCCTCAGAGCGGGACATGCAACTGTAGGCATGTGATTGCAGCATTGTCTTCTTGGTTTCAGAAAATGGACGCGACCTACTGACATGCTAAGTGGTGGTAGCCAAAGTTGTGGGGATGAGACAATGCATGCAGCTTAATTCAGGTAGCTGCAGGTGTCTCAACCCTAACGCAATGCTAGTTCATATATACTACTGTATATTATTCTCAGTTTGGAACCTCTTTCTTTCAGGGATTGAGTATAGGGTTTTGTGATGGTTTGGTTTGTTCATACCGATCATTTGTTCTTAAAACTTTCCTTAAGCTGTCTTAGAAATACATCTGCATATTTAGAGCTTATCATTATCTTCTGCTGGAAAGCATTTTAGAAAGAACAATAATGAAACAAAACTAGAGTGGATGAAGTAGGAAATTATTTTGTTGAGACTTTGCTTGCCTGACATTAGAATCAGGAGAAAGAAGTGCCGAAGGATAGAACTCATTGTGCTTTGATGTTTTTATAGATTTTGGAAACATGAATTGTATCATATGCTGTATACTTGTTGTTGGAATTTATCTATATTTGAAGAACAGAAGACATACCTGAAGAGCTTGTTTCTAGGAACTTATAGTCCGAGACTCTATCATTCCTGATCACAAAAAAAGATAGGAAGTAATGATGCTAGGAGACGAAAGATGAGGAATGCCAGGGCTGAGGGTCATGGATTCTTGAAACATCCAACTCACAAGTATATTATGTACACTGATCTCTGACAGGTCTTTCACTGACTGCAGTTTGGAACTTCTCCAATGTCAAAGTGGGGAGGGGTGGGGGGCTGCATGGGTTGTGTCAGCACAAGGCAACAAGGCCAGGGGGTTGGACCAACTCAGGTTCCCACCTGGCACTTCCTGCCAGGTCAGACTCAATCTGAGAGTGTCAGATCTCCTATCTGAAACTTCAATTCCCAGGATCAGATCTTCCTGCATGGTCCAAATGTCCTTTATTAGCAAACTCAATCTTCTTCTATATCTCCATATACTTCCTCCCTTCTTTTATCGCTATTGAACTACGTAAAAAGTTAATAAAAAATTTTATTTATAGTTTCTAGTAAAATATTTTGAGGTCTTTTTCTATATCTTTTATTTTATATCGTATGTCTCCTTAACTTATCTTCATATCATCATAAATGATTTTTTCTTATCTTATTTTATATGTCGAGACATTGAACCGAAACATACCAAATCTCTAAAGATTGGTCCGAGATGGGACAAGAACAGGCCTAAGCCCAAGAGGATAGGTTGATGGCTTGACATGTCTGTTTACTTGAGGTTCAACATTAGGTTCGATTCAATTGGCAACATTATGATGGCAATTGTGGTGGTGAAACTTAAAATATTGTTTCATCTCTGTGATCGAATTAGATAATTTGGCTAGTCAATCAAAAGAAAAGATGGTTGGATGAGTTGCATTTGGATTACCGTATCTCATTGAATTTGGTCGGGAATCAATTACGTTGGTGTTTGGCACATCAGCCATCGCGGAGGTCGCCAATGCTTTGAGATCCACGAATGGCGTTGATGATCACTAAAACCATATCTGACCACTAAAATTTCGCCCTTTTGAGCTATTAGCAGTCTCAAGATGCGGGTGACGTCACTGTGCGTGGCGTGGCGTAGCGTATACTCGTTATAACGATCGAGGACGACATATACGACACGTTACGTTGCCTCGAGTAGCGTGTACTCATTGTAACGGGTATCGTTTCGGGCACGGGAAACCCCGCGCCGTGGATTGAGGGGGGACCCCCCGCCCGGCGGGACCCACTCGGACGTCATGGTCGGCGTGAAGGTGTCATAACCCCCGTACGCTCACCGAACGAACCCGCGTCGCGTCTCCTCACGTCTTGTCTTCATACGCTTACTCAAATCAAACACCGACGGTCACGGGATCCACTCTTTCGATCGAAACAGGACTCGTCGTGTCCTTCAAGTGTTACCCCCCGGTATACACAGCCGACGATTACGTTCCCGGTGGAGGGACCCACATTACGCGTCGTGCGTACGCTTTAGGTTCGTAGGCCCGACAGCTGGCTTCGCCGAACCAACGTTCTAGAGAAGTGGGTTTGTCTCTCAAACGAATTATTGCACAATTAAATCGATATTTTTATTCGTTAAATTATATTTATATCAGTCACCTTCTATTTTATTTTTTTGACTTAGTGCTTTGAATTTAAGAAATATTTAAATTATTCCTAAAAATACTATAAATAATCTAAACAAACTTTTAACCTCAACTAAACTAATTATATGTATAAAAATATAACATTATAATGATAAGTAACAACAATAAAATAGGTGTGATATAATATCATTTATCAATATATCAACAAATTATTACAAATATTATTAAAAATATCATAAATGAGTTAAATAAAAATACTATATCATTTAAAAATGATAAAAGAAAGGGTAAAAAAAATTTGATAGGAAAAATTTTCAGTGATATTTTGAATATTTTTTGAATTAGGGATATTATTTGAAAAAAAAAAGTATCTTTTGAAAAATATGCAGAATATAAATATTTTCTTTAATAAAAGGTGAATTCTTTTCCCAACCAAATAATAAACCCCAACGTCTCTTCTCGCTCCGTCGCTGAGTCGGTAGCGTTTGGCTTCCTAAATTTTGGTCTCTTGTCAAGATCATCTCTGGAAACAGCTTTGGATCCTCTCGTCCAACTTGCTTCGATCGAGTGAGGAGTCTCAGGAAGCGTGGGAATGGCGGAGGAAGGTGCAGCAGCAGCTGCGGGGGTCGAGATGAAGCTGGAGTTCACTCCCACGTGGATTGTGGCCGCCGTTTGCTCCCTCATCGTCGTCATCTCCCTCGTCGCCGAGCGCCTCCTCCATCGCCTCGGAAAGGTCCTTCCTTTCTCTCGACTCTGACCGCTTCTTGAACTCCCTGCATTGCTTAATTTGCTGATCTCTCAGGTTCTCAAGAGGAAAAACCAGAAGCCGCTCTTCGACGCTCTCCAGAAGGTGAAAGAAGGTGCCTCTCGCCTCCATCTCCCTTCGTTTCTCCCTCTTTTGTCGATTTATGAGTTGTCGTTTATGAAAGCTGGGATCTTGGGGGTTACATGAGCAGAATTAATGCTTTTGGGGTTCATTTCGCTGCTGCTGACGGTGTTCCAAGGAGTCATTCAAGGGATCTGCATCCCCGAAGGATGGAGCCTTCACATGCTCCCCTGCAAGAAAGAAGAAAGGATCACCGAGGCCCACTTCCAGACCGCCTTTTCTGCTGGCCATTTTGGAGGCGTCGGTCGGCGGCTGCTCGCAGGAGGTGGTTCTGGCGCCGCCGCTCATTGCTTGAGCAAGGTTTGTTTGAAGCAATCCACGTTTATTCCTGTACATACTGTTTCGCTGCTCTGCATAATTATACTTCAGATATGGGATAAAGAAAATTTAATGAGTTCTTGAACAAATTCACAAAAGCCCCGCAATGGGAGCTTTGTTATTTCTCGAAAGATCGATCAAGGTTCTTGGTATTAAACTTAAGCTAGTTTCAGTGTCTCCTAATGTTGTTTTTGTGCAAAATCATAGTTTGCGAAGTCAATTGTGAAAGTCGGTTCTTTTTGCGTCAGTAATGGTAATTTCATAAATAGTGACATGAAAAGACATGAAGATATGGTTTAAAGAGATGGTTAATATATTTCGTTGTGAGAAAATGACGTTATGGTATCTTTAGATCTGTGATCAGGATGAAGGATTGTTGGGGACGGCTCATAGTATGATGTTTGGCAGGCATCTTTTATGTACCACAAGATGCTTGGTTATGCTTGTGTTGCATTTGGGGAAAACATATATAATAAGTTGGAGAAACCATATTGAACGGGAACCTAATGTTGATATAAAGTTAGGGTAATCTGTGCATGCATTTGTCAAATTTTAAGATAGCAGATGTTAGAGTAAAATGAGTAACTCAATTTGTAGTGCTTTGGTCGTATTCAGAAAAGATATGTTTGTACAGCAAATCATTTCAGACTAGAAGTCTCATGACATGTAAAAGAAAATTAAAACAAAATGTTTTGGTTAGGAAGAGCAAGAAAGGCTATAGAAGTTATAATGTGGTAATATTTGCCTCAATGGACCAGCCTCATATTGTTGGGATTTACAGCTTAAATGCTGCCACCGTCGAAGCTTAAGACTTTGTGGAACACGTGATCCTATCGTTTGATGTGCTTTCTCTAAAAAAAACAAATGCTAGAAGCAACCTGAGGCAAGTTACATACAGGCATATGATGTACAATAAAGCTTTTTGTGTGTTTTTCATGAAACCTATACTAAGAAATTTTGAGTATGTGAATGGCAAAAGAAATTGTAATTCTTAGCCCTTGGTTCATGAGTAGAGGGTCTAGAGAAAAGAAACTAAGAAAGAACACTCACCTTCATATTCAGGTGAAGATTATATGCACCCATTTTATCTGTAACAGTTATGAAACATTCTTATTGATGAAAAAGAACTCCATTAGTGTTGTATGGTAGTGAATTGGATGCATGGATAACTCAATAGAAGTATATGCACCACTCTCCCTTTTAAAGATAGTAATTGTACTATGCCAAAAAGAATAAACGAAAACCTTTTAGGTTCTTCGCTGGTACATATAACCAGATACTGAACATACTTTGGTGGTGGCTGACATAGCCTACCATTCAGATTATTCTATAATCACAAATTGCATGACATATCTTACTTCATATTATCCTTCTCCACCTTCAAAGTGACTCTTCAATTATGAACTATTTTGCAGTAGCACGTTTTTCCTGATCTCTTCTTTCTTTTTCAGGGAAAAGTCCCACTCTTGTCTCTTGAGGCAATTCATCAATTG